CGAAAACTCCTGCCAAGTACTAAAAGTATGTGCGGGAATGGGACCGGCTAACGTGTTTTGAAAATGTACCTGCAGGAGAGGCAAGTTGTCGGACGTGTTTACACCAAGCTTGTCAATATTCATCATCATTTCCAGTGTAGGCACAGCAACAAAACGAGTAATCTCATCCACGGTTTGTTCTAGTGAACGGAACAACTCCTGGGTCTTATCATTACCACCAACACCCACGCTCGCAAACAATTGGCCGGACTTCATCCAAATGCCAGCCGTTCTCCTTCCCGCACTAATTTGTCCTCGGTACGATATCACACTTGGAGCTACAAGCACCTTAATACTCCATCTCGGACGGAAAGCAAAGAACTTGTTATCCCTAGGGATGCTGATTTAGTCTCTACTTTTTTTTCCTAGACAGGGTTTCGAAAACAAAAAGTCGGTTCTAAGTAAGCAAAGCGAGATACCACTTGCAAGAATTTATGCGATACGTGCAATTGAACAGCTTGCACATCAAGAAAAAGCGTTCCATCTGAACAATCTCCAAAATTCCACCTCGCGGCAACCAGCTTTTCGGGATAGTTTTCCACAGACAAATGCCACAAGCTTGGCTCGGCATTTGGACCAAAAACCACTTCCTCGATTGCAACCGCAATGTCTGTCGAGCTCGGTGCATTTTCCATTGCTCGGTGACCAACTACCAAATTTTTTGAATAGACGCACAACCAGAAAGCGTTGAACTGTCGTGCGCTAGGGCGATGGCTCCTATGCGAACATGCATGGCTCCGTCGAATCAAAAGTATGCATCTCGATCCCATCGCACGTGAACGATATTTCTAGTCTGTGCATGTACTTGAGCGCTGGAGAACGCTTCTGTAATGGTGAACGCTGCACTGGCTTTACCTGTGAGGGCCTCACAATGGATCGGATAAAATCACTGATCCCTCTACTTACCCCCGACACTCGATTGAATAACACGTCAAACACTGCTTTGTCAAGGTCAAGTCTCCACTTGGTCACTGCAATAGTAGCAAAGAATTTCACTCCTGTATCACCACCTTCACTTGTGGCAAAAGATTTTTTCTTCGAGACTGCATGTCACGTTGAGCGGCGACCAAAAAGGTCACCACATCTGAGAAATGTGCTACACGTCCCGCCACACCACCGATATGTCTTTCGAATGGGCCTATCTCATTGCACATTTTATGAGCAGAGACGAACTCATTAAACTTCAGCTGAGCAATGTGACCCGTAATCTTTCCGGCTCGACATCCGATCCGCAGCTGTGACTGGCCAAACCGCCGTGCTTGAACCGTGGCTCGCCTCGGCAAGACCCTCGAGTTGAACGGAGGGTAGCCCAGCCCATCCAGCGAAATGTCATTTCGCACGGCAGATGCCACTGACAATGATTCTAACACGACAAATGCATTCCCTGATACTGGCCGTGCTAACATAATACCATCCATGAGAAATTCACTTGGGAGGAACAAGCGAATGCAACCAAACAAAACAGACACTTCTATGGTTGCCAAAGATACGCAGGGGACAGCATCAGGTAGAGATGGAGCTCTTGTGGTCGAATCATCAAATTTGCTCACTCTAGTCCTGCTCTTTAAGCTGAATGAGCTGGCCGACTCATCACCCACGTTCGTTAGTGAAGCGAGGCAGTATAGACTTGACGTTGTCACGGCAGCGTCCACGCTCTCCACGGAACCCGCAAACACATGACGAGGGAGGCCAGCCTCACTGTAATTGCGATAAAATACCGAAAGCAGCGGGAAAGGGGAAGCTGTCAACGCTGAGTCAATCCAGGACATGATAAGCGGGATTTCTGCAGTGAAGCTCTTTCTTGTAGCCTCGCTTCGCAGCTGTTTAGCATGTGCTTCATGGAATGACTTAGCCAAGCAGCTTGTTAAATGCCACGACAGCATCGCAAGTGGCAGCGATTGCTGGTCCGATATGAAAGAATTTGACACACTTATGGCCTCGGTAAGACGTTGCAAATCCGACAAATCTAGGCATACCAAAATACCCAGAAATGCGTGCTCTTGTAAGCACGAGAATTCACCGAACGCGGTGTGAATCTCGCGCCTCACATTTTGGAGTTTCTCCACAACCTGGACATCACCCACAGTCGCCTGCAAATCTGTAAAGCTCGTGCATCCTGTAGCTGGGTGGAGGTCGTTCCGAGCGGGATGATGGTTGCCAACACGGGCAGCCACAGCAAAATTTACTATCTTGCTATCCACAACCACCCTGGTTCGTTGACTGCGGTGAACCGACTGACGACTAATTTCAGCCGTGCATGCAATACCGACATGGTCTACCTGAGCACCCAATCTCCAATACCACTGACTGTACGTATTTTCTCTGCTACCAATCTCGGATTCATCAGGCTTTCGCTGCTCTGGATCTTGATCAAACAGCAAATTCCTTGGCTCTGCTTTAGCCTCACTGATATAACGCTTTAAGAGATACATAAGCTACACGACAGCCATAACAACGTATCTTTGTGATTAGTGTACACGGCGAACGGCAACAAGAAGCTTTGAAGAATCGTTGGTTCCCATCGCGGCCAGATGGACAAACTTCGATACGAATAGCGTACCTTCAATCGAGACAGCGATGCCTGAATACTTGATACGCAAAGTGTTGTATCCACCGCGAACGCGTGACGGCAGTCGGCGAGACTGTGCGAAATGTCGATCGACACATGAATACCCTGAATACTTAGCACGTTCAAGTCTTCCACGTCTTTGAGGACACCATTTTCAGATGCGCTTATTGTCACATCTTTCATAGCACATTCGACCTTAAGAGCCCCTCCAGCTCTTACATGGGCTAGCTGTCCTGCGTCCACGTTTACTGACGATACGGATAGTAATGGCACCTTCAGTTGGAGCGCTTCGTTCAAACGTATGTCTGCACCGGCAGCTTTCAGGTTAATCTTGAAGCTCCAATCAGCCAAGCCATTTTCTAAACCATCCTTTGCCATTGCATTTCGTTCGCAGTCTTCCCCTTGGGGACCCAACTCTTTTGAGGCGGCAGATTTGCCTTCACTCCTTGCACAAGACTCAAAGTAGCATCTACGGTCTGTAACACACCTTGCACGTCCACGAACACTCGCGCAAGCTGCGCATTCATCGCAAGATGGTAATGCACACAAGCTGCTGCAAAAGGTCCATTGATCATAGAAAAAAGACCAAGCGGGTGAAGGAGCGATAAGGCATTTAGTGCACCCGATGACTGATCTTGCAAAACATCAAGCTTCAATAGTGGCGTAGTCAACCCCGTTGTACCGGCCGTTGTCGGGGCAATACCGCCTTGCAGTATGACTTCACTTCTGCGTCCTGCCCTTGTCATATTGGCGCTGATTGATGCAGCTCCAGCGCTGAACGATTGGCGCTGAGCCATCACCAGCCTGGGTCGATTACAAACTGCTCCGGAAACCCCAACCCCGCACGCTTCAATCTGAAAAGCAGTTCGCAAACACTTTCGGCGTCAGAACTAGTGGTTCCCACGTAACGGGGTATCCAAAGGGCTTGCTATGCTGTTTATCATTGACGCAACATCCTGCGCGGCAGACGTACTCATACCGAGCTTCAATTTGGCCAGATTCGCGCATAAACTGACATTGACGTCTCCATCAGCTGAGCTATTCATGACTGAACAACTCAACCCCAGTGCTTCTACAAGCGTCATCGGCGTGAGTTGACTCGATGGTCGTGTCAAATGTACGGATAACGTGCCAAGATATTGACAGCGCTCATTGCGACCCGGATTACTGGCTCCTGACCACGCAAAGTCGCGCGCGATAACAATCAGATCATTACAAGCACTAGCTTCCAGCTCATCTTCCTTCTTTTCTGCTGCAGAGTGATCTGGCAGACATATATGGATACTGCTAACCGTGACCAACTTAACGTCCTTTTCCAGGACAGACTTAGTACTGTGCGCCGCATGAGGCGTGTCTGATATCATAGACCTAGAATTTGCGGTCTCCGTCGTGCCCTTGTTAGCTCCGCTACCACGCACGATAATGGACAGCGCTTCCAATATCTCCGAACATTTTGATGGATCCAACATAGCACGAACAGCGCCGATAGATACGTCCGACACCTTACAAGACCTTTTCTCGTTCGTATGACTGCTGGCCGATGGTTCGTTACGATGCGTGGAGGTTGACGTTAATGCCAAGTGCAGGCGCAGTGCCGAATGAAGACTCCGGCATCGAACATTGGTGCCGTCAGACGACAAGAAGAGCGAAGACGCTGAACACGAGTGTAGTGTGTAACGAGCGAATAGTGAATTCAATTGGGGCTGGAGTAGACGGGTCAGATTGTCCAGAGCTCCGACATCGGGATTCCGGAAGACGCGATATTCCTTCACGAGCGAGACAAGGGAACGAGTCATTCCCTCTAAAAGTACAATCGAGCAGTCATGGGAAGCCCAAGCGGTGGATACGGCATTTGATAAGATGCCTTCGTCGAGAATTCGCTCCTTTATTCCAATGATCCTTATCGTGTCATGACAAATTAGAGACAAAGTGGCTATCGGGACACAAGGAATACGCTCGCCATCCCATATTGTAAAACACTCACAAGGAAGATCCAAATGTCCCCCAAGTTTCTACTGGGTTCCAACGTTTTCCAAGTAGGAACACCAGCATCCAAACCCACTTTGATAATTTCAGAGCTCCGCTCTTCACGTCGATTCCATCGTGTTGCCTCTTCGCCAAAAAATGAGTTGGTGAAGTACGGATGAGAGACATAGTCGGGGACGTGAACTGAATCAGTTGAGCCCCCACGTGAGCAAGATCTGCCCTTTTTTACATGTCAAATCTTCTCGATTTTCGCTGACTGTCACCGATGTCAGCTCGACCTTATCGATTTCGAGCACCAAATCGAGTCCATTTTGTTCTCCGTTGCGTGGTAGAAGCGCCTCAATCGCAACGTAGCTGAGATGTATGCTCAAAATAGGTACGGCTGGTCGAGCTACTTTTCTTCTTGTCTTTTGCGCCATAACCCTCACCACCAAGCCCAGGTTTACAACCGGCACAAGCTCTTCTCCGCTTTCGGTGGTCGCAAAGTCTTGATGCTCCACTTCTTGACCCGCACTTTCATGCTTCCGCAACATCATAGATGCCGAGCTGATGCACAGCCGTACACAAAATATCTTAGTAGCTGCATCATTGATGACCAGTGGATCCTCATCACCGTGGTTGCTTGGTGGCTGTACCTTAAGCAAGGCCATTTTTGTCTCGGCAAGCAGCTCAGAAACTAGTGCATCCTCTTCTTTTTCATCTCCAGCTGTACCTAGAGCATTTATCACCCAGCCGAGCCATGACTCTTGCTTCTTAGCAACGCGGTTCATCTTTTTTCCTCCGCTTGGATTCACAACAGGAATAGCAGGAATGTGAGAAACAGAGGGGCGCTTTGCTTTCTTGCCACCGCTTGGTACGTGATCTGGACTGCGTCCTTGGAACGGCAGCTCGTGAGACTGTCTCATCTTGCCGCTTGCGCTCTTGATTAGCTGATTCAGCATTTCTAGTTGGCTGTCGCTAACGGAGAAGGACAGTTTACCAATGAAAACATCCACCTCGTACATGGGTGTCAAGCGTGAGCGACGGCACGAGTAAGGGTAGAACGGGTCGCACAGCTCAGACGGTCTATATGCACACAATCCGCCTTCATCAAACATGCTGCTTTCAGCGACATTATGATTCGCCGTACTTCGTTGTTGGTGCACAGGGGACCTTGAAAAATAGGACTATTGCTGCGATCATTCTGGCCGCCGCTCGCGATGGTAGAGAAGAGCTGCAACTTGGCTCGGACCGAAGCCGACGTCCGGCTTAGCACCGGCACCTCGTAACCAATCACATTCCGCCGCACGGGGTCTCCCGCCGTGCTATGTTTGGTACTCATGTACCGATCAAGAAAAATGGTAACATCTTTGGCGTCAACACTTTTACGGATCACGCGTTTTTCTCCCTTAAGCTGGTCAAAGCATCGTTTCCACCCGCTACTCTCACTTGCAGAATAAAAGTCCAAAGTCTGTTGCCCACAGAAAAAGAAAAGACACACGTTTATCCCCCGCAACCATTTCGTTCGAACAACTCATGAATAACAATACGAGCACATACCCCCAGCGCAATGGAGAACACAATGTCATCATGCTCGTACTTGAGCACGAGGTTGTTCACCTGGACGCTAATATTGGACAATATCGTCTGCAAAGTGTCGTGAATCCATCCAGACTTAGGATGCTCCATCTTTGACCGCTCTTCCTCCTCCTCTTCTTCTTGTTCCTTTTTCCCGACCGCTGCTGCTCCTGCTGTGCTCACCGTCGATCCTCTCGCTGCTCGCTGCTCTGGCTGTTCGTTCTTGGCCGTCAGGATGAGCTCAATCGTGTAGAGCTTCACCTCAATAGGATGAGACAGCAGCTGTGTCCAGGGAATGTGGATCCGCAGCTCTCGGATGAAGCCACGCGAGAAGTCGAAGCTCGAGGGAATGTCGAGACTCTCGCGCAGCACGTGGCGCTTGATTTTGAGGTCGTTGAGCACGAGGTCGCCGCCAAAAAGCCCCAGTCGCTCCAGCTGGATGTCCTCAATGTACTTGCTCAAGTAGAACTGGAGACTCTGCGCGATGTAGCCACGCAGAGGCGACAGCAGGTCCAGCATCTTGACGCGCTGTGGACACGAGGAGTGCGTGCGCTTGTCACTTGATGCGCTTAATGTAGCCAATCAGCGCGATCGAAATAGTCACCGACACCGCAATGTCAAAGTTGAGTTTTGAGACGTACTCGTTTTTAGTGGAAACGAGACATTATTTCGCATCCACATTTATCGTAAAACTGAAGAGCGACTCTAAGGCTTACCCTTTATTACAAGTGATCCAGCTTGGAAATGGATTGAATCGGAAGAAGCAGTAAATAGGGGCGGCTAACGACGATGCAGGCGTGTGATGCTGTTGATATGCAAATGACACTGGTAGGGTATGTCCCGGTCAACGTGGGAAGCCATTGCCCTTGCTCCTTTCGTTGTGCAAGGCTTTTTTGAATCTCTCACTATGTAAAGCCTATCATACCGACTATCCCATGTCGGTATCGAATGCGTCGACCTCTTAATAGTTGTGAGAACCAGACCAAGTGTTCTCACTCGCTTCTTTAAGCTTGCACGGGCACGATTCTGCGCTCGTCCCTTGTGTATCACGATATCATGATCCAAGCGGAGGGGAATCTGCGTCTAGGTGTGCTAAATTTATCGTCAGAGGTCACGAATGCTGATCCCGGAATATGTTTGAACGTCCCGAAATACAATGTCTCTGATCACGCCGCTGCTCTGATTCGTCAGTCTGATACCCTGCCAAAGATTGGTCGTCAACTTCATATCCTCAACCTATTCGGAATGCGGCAAGCTCTCTAGTCCCCCTCAAAGCTTGCCAAAGCCCATTATCTTCGATCAGGATAGACGATTGGCAGCTGTAATGCTGATGGCATTCTTAAAGCTTGCCCTGCATTAGTCCACTGTAACGATAAGCTTCAGCATTATCCTCGGAAAGACAAAGCGAGTCTTTAAGTGCTTCTCAAGTGCAACACCCTTGTTGTCGGTTGTCGGTCATGAGACGCTCTCACTAACTTTATCAGCATTTTATTTGATGAAGTCGATCAGCGGGTCACGAAACTGAACCTAGCGGAGGTCGCTGTAATGATCTTGCTGTCATAATACATGATTGATTTTACAGCTTCTAAAACTAAGCGTAAGCCATGTATAAATTGTAACGGGGTAGCCCGTTACATGATATTTACACCAAACTGTGTCAATATGGGGGGTTGTCTAGCGTGACAATTCCCTACCAATATACTCGAGGTGGATAATATCGAAAGACTGTTATTCCCTTTAAATAATGTTCATGCGCTGCGCAAATATCGGTTATTAAAAGACATATCGACCAAGGTTACCACCAATCGCTGCTGGATGCGCGTAATGAGTGGTGAGCAGGTTGTCGTCATACGACAATGTAGATTAATGTAGTTGGATGAAGACCGAAGTTATATTGATAGATTAAGTATATTAAATACAGTTCTCTTCTTACCATTTGCTCAACCTAGTTGTTAAGTAGACTAGCTCCCTCTGCACGTACTAGTGTACGTGAAGTTTCGTAGCACCCCAAACAAAGGGTGCCCTGTTACATAAATGGTTGGTATATCGGACTTGATGTACAAAGCGTACCCGCCGACCAAAAAGTTTATCAACCAGTATCACATTTTTCGGCACCTTCAGAAGGTATTTGTCGTTCATCTGTAGTACGTGGGGTGTAGTGCGTGTGTAACTGGGTTAGCCTGTTACGTGCAATTAACCCTTGATACTTATTGATTAAAATACAATCATAACGATTAATGACGTTCGTGGATATTACCATAAGAGGTAACATTCCGAAACACTCACGGATTGATTGATATAGGTCATCATATCAACCAGGTCTAGCGGTCCAATCAAAGATGGACGCGCGCAAATGAGTGGTAAGCAAGACTTGAGCATGCGTTTTGTAGATAAGTATAATTAAGTTTAGACTAGAACATAGGGCAGTGATTAGGACTTGATTATATTTAGTACGTTTTTACTGTTACCAGCAACTAGTCCGTATTTAGTTGCGTCCCTTCCTCTAGTATATAAATAACAGAGGTAGCGGGGCACCACTCACGCTGCTTTCGGTGATAGTAGTTCCACATTACTTGTCTAGCGTGTTGCTCTGGTGCACCATTACACCTGGAGCACTTCGTAGTCCGTCCAAGGACCACAAAACCCGTTCAACATGAACATGTTGGACGATGAAGGTGACGACACCTTTCACAGCACCCATGGAAGTTACTACTATTTGAGTGATGTCGAATGAAGTGCGATCGAACGAATGAGTTCGACGATTGGCGAAGAAGCTTTCAGGTCTCTGCTATATTCAAGGGATATGGACCAGCAGCATTCCGTAATCGCCAGGTTCTTACAACAAGCACTTGATGTCTCGCGAGCTGAAGTGACCCTACTGCATCAGCGAGGTTACTATCAAACTAAGCTCCTGAGACAGCAGCATTCGATTCTTCTTCTGCGCGTCGACGCGTGAGCGTAGACGCAAGACTTGAAAATTAGCAGCCTCCAAGTACCAGGGAGTAGAGGAAGACTCTCTGTTGAGATGGTTTCTCGAAGTGGACGAAGTAACTAAGGCTTGCCACATCGGCGCTGAGGAAATGCAAGCTGTATTTGCCATATATTGAATTTCACCGGACTCTCCAGAACTTGGGCTTTATATTTATGATCACACAATCCACGTTTAGATTTATAGGTGGTCTTTAAATATCTGTTCTGCCAAACGTTTAAGACGCCAAGAGCTGGGCTCAAGACTCTTCCAGAGCTCCTGAAAATTAAAAAGGTAAGCGTGACGTTCACGCTTATGTTCAGTACCATAGTCACCTCGCAAGTTGCATGTTAGCGAACTCTGTTAGTAAATTCGTGTTGATCACGATACTTTTACAGGTCCTTGCAAATTGCCCCATGGGGAAACGCCTGTTCATCATCGAGTATAAGTCGTTTAGGGAAGCGATTACAACTGTGGTGCAAACGAATTTGGTGTGAGACAGGCTCACACTAGCTTCACCCCTCATCTTCTTTCGAGACGAGTAGAGGCGAGTGGTCAAAAAAGGGACCTCTGCAGTGTTGAGAGCGAAAGGCCTCTCTTTTCAAACAAAAAGCTATTGCAAAATTGCAATCGCTGTCAGAAGTTACGGCACTTCGCCTTCGAGTGTAGTCCTTCACGCCCAGCGCCTCGAAACTTTAGCGAAGTGATCGACAGTCTTCCAAGAAGGGCAAAGGGCGCGGTCCGACGCTGTTGCAAAGTCAAACCAGCTTGGCGGACTCTCCAGAACTTGGGCTTTATATTTATGATCACACAATCTACGTTTAGATTTATAGGTGGTCTTTAAATATCTGTTCTGCCAAACGTTTAAGACGCCAAGAGCTGGGCTCAAGACTCTTCCAGAGCTCCTGAAAATTAAAAAGGTAAGCGTGACGTTCACGCTTATGTTCAGTACCATAGTCACCTCGCAAGTTGCATGTTAGCGAACTCTGTTAGTAAATTCGTGTTGATCACGATACTTTTACAGGTCCTTGCAAATTGCCCCATGGGGAAACGCCTGTTCATCATCGAGTATAAGTCGTTTTTTAGGGAAGCGATTACAACTGTGGTGCAAACGAAGTTTGGTGTGAGACAGGCTCACACTAGCTTCACCCCTCATCTTCTTTCGAGACGAGTAGAGGCGAGTGGTCAAAAAAGGGACCTCTGCAGTGTTGAGAGCGAAAGGCCTCTCTTTTCAAACAATAAGCTATTGCAAAAGTGCAATCGCTGTCAGAAGTTACGTCACTTCGCCTTCGAGTGTAGTCCTTCACGCCCAGCGCCTCGAAACTTTAGCGAAGTGATCGACAGTCTTCCAAGAAGGGCAAAGGGCGCGGTCCGACGCTGTTGCAAAGTCAAACCAGCTTGGCGGACCGCAAAAACGGTCGGGGTCAGTAGGGCGGAGAGTCCTACTGATCCAGCAACCTCACAAGGATTTTAAAACCTTTTTAAGAATTTTGATCCAGACTCACAGTCGCTGTGTGTCTCTGCACTTGTTGATGAGGTCCCCCTCATCACCTTAATCTTGGAAGTGACAAAATAATTATCACCTCGTGCCTTAATGAGCTGTGAGGCGTGGAACAACTTTATTTGTCTACCGTCGATAGAGGACCGTAGGCTCAATTTTGTTGAGCGCGATGTTCCTCCTACGAGGATGGAGGTGCGTTTTGCAACAGGGACATCGACAGCAGTTATGGAACGCATAGTGAGATGCAACTACGCGTTAGAACATTCGGAGTACAATGATAATTTCATCGTTCTTAATTTGGATGAAAAGTTTGGTGTCATCCTAATGTTACCCTGGTTCAGAAGGTTACGAGACAAGGATCACCTGGCAGCATCAAACCGTGAAGATGCCTGCCGTTTGTTCTATCAGATGGCCATCTGGTGAACGTCTTGGAGCGTGAGCGTCCACAAGCGTGTGGATGTACTGCGAGTGATTGTGATTGCCTCACTTGCGGTACGGTCGATTAACGACTACACAAAAACACAGTGTGACAACAAATCGCTCTGTGGATGAAGCTCCCTGCGGCTGTGCGGGTGCACAGCAGCAACGAAGGTTTTCCACTAGAAAAAGTTATGTGGATCAGGATATGGTTGTGCGCCTAACGGGCAGCATCCAAGTAAAAACAAATAAGATGCCCACACAAGTCAACATGATGATCCTAGATCGGCTGGAGAGTCTATCTTAGAGGACCTATTTGTGGTAGCGCAACCACATCTGGACGAGAAAGAGGGAGTTGGTCCTTAGTACTTGAGGGGAATAAATTAAAGCATTTATTGGTGAAGTAATGAGTCCTCGTCATCCTCCGAGACTAAGCCCCCAGCAGCCTGTGGAAAAGGTTTCCAATGAAGAAAATCGTGACATAGAATGCCTTGTTAAGTACGGGTAGATTGTAGGCGCTTATACAGTTGATCTGATCGCATCTCCGAAGTTGACTACGGAGATCACTCAGCAGCCAACGCTAGAACCGAAACGGTTCTTAAATTATTTGATCAAATGAAATGTATTACCTTT